AGAGAGGGAGAGAGAGGGAGAGAGAGAGGGAGGGAGGGAGGGAGAGAGAGGGAGAGAGAGAGGGAGGGAGGGAGGGGGAGAAAGGGGGGAGAGAGGGAAAGGRAGAGGGAGGGGAGGGAGGAGAGGGAGAAAGGGGAGGGGCCTCAGGGAAGAGGCGCCTCCCCAGGCACATTCCAGTGACCTCCCCAGCCACACACCCCTGCACACAGTGACACCCAGTCAGTCCCTTTAAACTGGGACAGGCTGACCAGGTCACAGCTCTCACAATCCTGTCACCTGAGCACACCTGCACTAACAGGAGCGCTGGGTGGACAGCTCACATCCAAACCACAGCAGCATCTTTGTTGGCCGAGTGCGCGTGGCCTCCTCTGGGCCTCTCCTGCCCCTGCCCTCTGCTTGGACACCATCTTGGTGCCACCTCAGCTCTGTAGCTCCGTGTGCTTTGGAGCCGGCGCTTGGGGTGTGTCCAGCTTGGTGGTTTTCTTGATGGCTATTTGGGGTCTTCTGTGGTTCCAGGAGGTTCAAGCGTTACTTTTCGTTTCTGTGAAAAGTGCCCCAGGAATTCTAGTAGGATGCGCTCCGTAGCCAGCTGCTGGGCGGCAGGGACCTGAAACCAGCCCTGGCCGCGGACCAGGCCACTTGCCTGTCACCTTCAGAGTCTCTCACGCTCAGGGGAGGGGTCTTTCACCTCCTTGGTTAAATCCATCSCGAGGCGTTTTACTTAGGACTCTGATGCTCCCCAGTGGACAGCTTTCCTGGTCTTTCCTCATCTTCACCGACGGCACAGGAAGGCGCTGCATCCCCTGTGTCCCTGCGCCCTCCTGTGTCCCTGTGTCCCCCGTGGCCCTGTGTCCCCTGTGTCCCTGTGTCCCCCGTGGCCCTGCACCCTCCTGTGGCCCTGCGCCCCCTGTGGCCCTGTGTCCCCTGTGGCCCTGCTCCCCCTGTGGCCCTGCGCCCTCCTGTGGCCTTGTGTCCCCCGTGGTCCTGCGTCCTCCTGTGGCCTCTCCCAGCCCCTCTCCTCTGCTCTGCCTGGCRGGAAGCTGCATTTGCAGGGTGCTGGGGTCTGCTGCCGCTGCCTCGGTGCTGGCCACGCTGTCCAGGTCACCCAGTGAGCTCGTCTGGGTACAGTCCGTGGAACCAGCCAGTGTTCTTGGTAAGTGTGGGGTTCTTACAGTGTCCCCAAGGCTGTGCACYGTCACCACTAGCTCGGACCTTCTCATGACCTCCACAGGAAGCCCTGCCCGGAGCCCTTGCTCCCACCCCTGGCCACCCGCAGCCCCTGGTCCGCTCCTCGTGTCTGTGGACCCACACATTCTGGCGTTGCATAGACTGGACGCTGTGGTCTGTTTCTGTGCAGCCGCCCTAACAGACCAAAGGGCTCGGGTTCATCCCCCAGTCCCCTCCCAGCCCGGCCCGTGGGTCAGTCCCTCCATGTGGGCCGTCTGGCCGTCGCTCTGGAGGCTGGATGCTGCTGTGCTGATCCCAGGTGGGTCGCAGCTCAGGGCTCTCCCACGTGCCCCAGCGCCCCCTGCAGTAAGGCCATGCGGCCACCTCCAGCCAGTGACATGGGAGGTCAAGTGAGGTCACCCTGCAGGGCGGGCAGCCCTCCTCCGGCCCTGCTGCCCTGGCTCAGTGACCTAGGCGGCCATGTGACCTCTGGAGGAGAGCCACAAGGCAGACCACATCATTGTGAGAAATTAGCCTTTAACGATGTCCTTGTCCACCAGGAACGACCCCAACCAGGCACGTGGCCACCAAGCCCTTGGCCATGCAGGGAGGACCAGGGAGGCCAGTGACTGCAGGACAAACCTTGTCACTGGTGAGGCTCCTCTTCCTCGTGGGCCTGGGAGGTGGCAGGAGCACGTACAGGTCAGCCAGGGTGGGCAGCCCTGGCCTCACCACGGTCACCAGGAGCTCCTCGGGGACACTGGTTTCCTGCAGGGACAGAYAGGCCACTTTAACCCTCTTCTTGTCCTCATCCCTGACACAAGTCAGACCCCAAGCACACCCGCTGCCCCTTCCTGGACTAAGTCCTGGTCACTTGTCAGGTAAGCCATTCCTGTCCATGCAGGGAATGTGGTTGGCCCTCGAGCCCCAGGTTGCGCTGTGCCGCCTCCTGCCCCTCAGCCCCTCCAGGCCTGCTCCCTGCAGCCCACTCCTCATACCACAGCTGAGGGCAGCCCCCGCTAGTGAGCTGCAGGTGCTGGCCAGTCCTTCACCTGGTGCTAACMTGGCGCACCAGCCGCGGCCTGGCCCTGCGCCTCTTCCGCCCGCTCTCCCTGCCCCACCCACAGCGACACAGCACCGCCCTCCGCCCTCGGCCTGCTCCTGGGGTCCTGCCTCGGGGCCACTGCAGGCCCAGCCGGCTGCTGAGCTCCTGTCCCTGCCACCCCTCCTGGAACCACGGTGCCAGCCTTGTTCACAGGACAAGCGAGGTCAGCAGGGTCAGCCTGTGACAGCCAGGGTGGCTCTAGGCTGGGCTTTGTCTCCCTGGGGCCACCTTCTGCTGCCCTGGTGGGCCACCTGCTCTGCCCTGTCCCCAGCACCCATCTCGGTTTTAAAGAGACTCTGACCCTCTGGAGGACAGTGACTGGACGCAAGCTCACAGCCGACTTTCCACAGGTGATGGCTCCCGTCCCTGCCCTTTGAGGTGACCCTCTTGTCCCGCTCCCCACCCAGCCGGCCTGTGCCGCGGCCCCACAGCCCTTCCTGCCCTGGACCGCGGCTGCAGCTTCTCTGGAGGCAGAGGCCCTGGGTGGGAGGCTCTGGGCCCCAGTGGGCACCTTGGAGAGCAGCCGGGTGACCACCAGGCCCACGTCCTCCCTCCACTCGGGCGTGCTGGGGTTGTAGGCGTCCAGGTCCTTGGAGAACTGCAGAGGCACCACCTGGAATTGGTCTGGAAGGAGGAGAAGACAGGAGCGCCGGTCAGTCCTGGACAGTGGCTCTGACCCCTCTGGGGAGGCAGCCAGGCCAGCCCTGGCTCAGACCCCAGCCGCTGTCCCCATGATCTGGAGCAGGACAGGGCCTGGCTCTGGAATTGAGCCCCTGTGAGCCGGCTGTGGCAGGGTGTCCGGGCAGGGCCACCTCACCGAGGTCCACGTGATAACAGAGGTCGCAACAGGGACAGGCCCCTGGAGGAAGGCAGAGCTGGTGCCCAAACCTGGTCTTGCCGCAGGTGACTGTGTTAAGTCACTCAGCCACSTCCTTGCTCACGTGGGGTGAGGGCCCAAGTCGGCTTTTACAGATGGGGACCCTGGGGGGCGTGGAGCTTCTGGCTTGTGCACCCCGGTGACCTGCTCCCCGAGAGGCAGGATGCAGGTCCACACGGGCCCCCGGGGACTCACCCAGCACACGCACCACCCTCGAGTCCTGCAGCACCGAGTTCCCGCAGGCAGCCTGCACCGTCACCCGCACGTCACCCGCGTCTGCAAACCGCGTGGTCACAGAGTTGTCCAGGGAGAGCAGGGGCTGCGGGGCACAAGAGCGTGTCAGGTCCCGGCTGGCAGGAGTGGGGAGGCTGGTCYTGCGTGGCTGCCGGTGACAGGGCACTGTGGCCTCCTGCCGTCCTCACAACAGGTGCACCCTCATCATCAAGGCGCCCTGCGGAGGCAGAGCCTGGGACACTGCGAGGCTCCACAGGTCACAGGCTGAGCAGGAGCTTGCTCTGGGGCCTCGCAGGGATGCAGGTCCAGCAGCCCTTCCCGTCCCTCCTCTGTGGGCCTTTCAGGAGGCCTGTGGGGCACCGCCGGCCTGCACAGCGTCCAGGGCCTCTGCCCACCCCACGCCCAGCTGTTGCACGTCATCTCAGACCCAGCTCCCAGCTCAGGACCCCTGTGGCAGGGCGGCATGAGGGTGGGAGGCAGTGGCACCTGAAGACAGGAAGGCTTAGACACAGGGGCTCTGGGGTGCGGGGGGCACAGGGGGCACGGGGCACTCAGCCAGAAGTGGCCAAGTCGGCACTCAAACCCAGAGCTCCTGCTTCTTCCTGGGCCCCTGAGCCCACAGCCCCTCCGTCCCGCCAACCCTCTGCGAATGGACCCTCAGCTGGTGCTTGCTAGGTGAGGGACAGGCGCCCCCCAGCTCTTGAGGCCTCAGCCTGAGGATGGACAAGCTGCCCTTCTGTGAATTGGTCTGTTTCTGCTCAAGARCTCTCCATGCATGGCTCCCCACTGCTCACGGTGTGCAGCGGGGCCTCCAGTGAGGTCTCTGAGACCTGTGTCACCCCAGGTGAGCTCCTTCTCCACCAAGCGTGACCTGGCCACTCACCCCTGAAGTGGTGGCCCCTTCTGGAGCCCTCACATGCCTCACCTGTCCCTTCCTGTGACGCTAGGCACACCCTGACTTGGGTCAGCCACTTCGTCTCTTTCCTAAGAAGAGCCAGGGGCTGGTCTGACCACCTCATGTGCATGGAGTAGACGGGCCCTGAGCAGATGCCCAGGGATGGCGTTGAGCAAAGCCAGGTCAGATGGGTCCCTCACGTTGGCCCAGGAAGGGCACTAGGTCTGGGGAGTGAGTTGCACACTGTCCCCTGCTGCTGGATACCTGGGCAGCGTCCTGCCCTGCTCAGCACCCCAGAAGGGAGCCTGCAGGTACGGGGACAAGAGGGGCCAGGGCAGCTCACCTGCAGGCTGTGGCCAATCCACCAGTAGAAGACAGTGAGATTGGGGTTCAGGGGCAGCAGCACAGCGGTGAGGTTCACCTCCTGGTTGATGCCGACGACAGGAACCACCTCCAAGTAGAGTGCCTGCAGGGGGGCTTCAGGGCCCAGGAAGGTCAGGGTTAGAGGACTGCAGGACACAGGGCATCTCAGAAGATGTTTGGGTCATTGTCACCATCAGTTTTATTGCTACCTCACCACCACATCAGCTTCCTCATCATTCTCATAACCATCACCATTATTATCACCATCAAATCACCATCATCATCATCACCATCATCATCATCACCACCATCATCATCACCACCATCATCATCACCACCATCACCATCATCACCACCATCACCATCATCACCATCATCACCACCATCACCATCACCATCATCACCATCATCATCACCTCCCATCACCATCATCACCACCATCACCATCATCACCACCATCACCATCATCACCACCATCACCATCATCACCATCATCATCACCATCACCACCATCACCATCATCACCACTACCATCAATATCATCATCACCATCACCATTATTACTACCACCACCACCATCACCATCATCACCACCATCATCATCACCACCATCACCATCATCACCACCATCACCATCATCACCACCATCACCA